AATTTAAAAGAACACATACAATGTGTATTAGTCATAATAGGGAGTATTTCCTTAAAGATTAAACTACAGAGAATCAAAAAGCACATGCAGCAAGCGAGGCACTGGATCATTTAAAGTACCTGTAGCAAGCAAAAGTTAGCTTACAGCGCAAAATAAAGCATGTGTTGGACCGGTGAAAATGTAGATGTGGCTAAGGGCTCTAATTTACAAACACAAATTATATTTACAGTATGGATCCTCTGCACACAGGGCAGGGGTAATGTGATGGTTGATGTTCTATACAGTTAATCCCGTATGGGGACTTAACTTTCAAATACTAATGTCCCAGTATGAAAATACAGGGCTCATCATGCAGACAACGTAACACAATCACAATATCCCACTCTCATAGAAAGTGTAGTGGGCTTATGGTAATAAATTAACAATCATACCAGGCACACAGATTCCATGTGAAATACACAACAATAAAACAGAATAAAAAACTTATACTTTATAAAATAGGAGAATGGATAAATAGACAGAGAGAAAATAGTAAATAGGATTTGGGGGTTTACCCTTGTCCCTTATCTGCTCTACACCCTCCCAAACCATATCTAACCATCAACATATATAAGAGATATATGTTGGAATATAAAAATTAGCTAACCCACTTCTGACGCTGCATACGGTGGGTCTGCTCCTCAGTTACTACTGCAGGAGGCTTCCCCTTGAAATTAATGGGGATTTTGCTCCTCTGACGCCGCAGGAGAGACTCCACCTGACCACAGTATGTCGACTGCCACAGTAGAAACCACAGCTGGGTTGTCCCTGCACTCACCCCACTATTAAAGTTCAGCACCGAAAAGAGATGTAGTTTGGAGTCACAAAAGACAAAAGTCATCATGTTCTCACCAAGTATTCTCTTTCGGGTCCGGACGAAAGCCCCCACGCACTTAAAATTAATATGCATGCGCCCTTAGAATTAAAGATATTTACTACGCAGTTCTAAATTACACATTACTGCATAGTAATGTATACTGTATAGTAATGTGTAATTTAGAACTGCGTAGTAAATATATTTAATTCTAACTGCGTATGTATTTTAATTTTAAGTGCGTAGTTATAGTGAAACTTAGCTTTGAGCAAGGCCCGAACATGAAGATACACCTGCAAGCTTGCTATAGGTTAAGATGTTAAGATAAGATAGAGGATTTTGTTAGGATTGGATAATGCTTGTAACGACCACCCCTGTTCCCTGCTGAATATAACCTGTTACACAGCCCATGAAACGTCACCTTGAACCTTACATTGTCTTGTCTCGTTCATTGGGGCTCCTCGCCATATGGTTTGGGACAAGGAGAAATATAGAGAATTGCAAATTGATGCAAAAGATCCTGGCAAGGGTAAATTACTGACAGAGAAAATTCCTCACTATCAGCAGTGGACTGTCCTTGTAAGTCAATTTGAACGCAAGAGGCAGCAATTGCTCAAAACACCTGCCTTGCAAAGACTTCTCATTGAGCTGTGATGGGGAGTCTGTGATTGGACAGACACAGAAAATCTGGGTTCAGTTTGATGAGGAGGACTTGCAAAGGATTTGATTTGTGGACCCAGAACATACTTGAAAATGAGAGAAATCTCAATGTATCTTTCCTGGTAAAATATTTTATAAATAATAAAAATAAAATAAATAAATAAAGGCAGCAGACAAAAGACCTACGGGTTTTGCAAATAGTTTTTAGATGCAACCACAAAGGAAAAGCTATATATTTAAAAGCATGCATGTTTTTATTTGGGGTATATCTATTAAACACTGATTTCTTTCAGTATAACCCTGTATACTATAACTCAGTAAATTCCACGACTATATTTATTGTCATGGGATTACTAAACAATCTTTATTACACAAAGTAAAAGGGAATTATATATATATTTTTTATAATTAGTTATAATTTTATTCAGGTAAAAAAAACAAGAACAGAAAATGAAGTAGGATTATTATAAGATATAACAATTCATAAAGGGCAAGACGCTGGAGCTATATTTTGTTATGAATTTTACACAAAGCAGATGGTAACTAACATCCTACTTGTGCCCAGCTTGCAGGTTTTTAGAGTCTCCAGGACCAATAAAAAAATAATTTCATGTCAATCTTCACAGAACGTCTGCTCTTTCAAACTGGTAAATGTAATTTGTTTTGGGCACTGCGACTTGGCTCCCTGTGTTAACATTAGTAGCCTTCCAGATACAGAATAATATTAAAGAAAAGGTCCAACTTCATGAACCGGCATGTCTCTTTTAACCTTGATATTTATTTATCTTTGTAATTACAGATGCAGCTCATTAATTCAATAACTCTGGCACTTCAGCTTGGATTTACAGCTCCTGACGTGACTCGTTACTGTCTCATTAGTGTGTCTGATGAATAACCTTTCATAAGGGTCTTCTTGTAGTTGGAAACGGCTGGATAGCAGTTCAATCCATTGTCAAACTGTGGAGACACGGGGAGTCAAAGAAAAGTTAAGATTTTGAAATTTGCTCCAGAAATTAGAATAAAGCACAGTGTTTTAGCTATCTCCGTTCAGAACATTCGATTAGTTGTGTTGATTCCATTTTCCAACGTTCTCATCCTCTCATCCTTATTTAATTCTCATTTCTTCTACCTCTAGTTGGAGCATCATGGCAGCTGTCTCTGGTCTGTATTGGTTAACGAGGCAGGATGTAGAATCTTTTAGTGCCAGTCATTGCCAGACAGTGCCAGCCATTGTCAGCCAGTGCCAGCTCTGCATTTTTGGGTAGACACAGTGTAATGAACTGTGAAAATGTGAAGAGCAATAATGGTTTATGTTTTACACCGTTCATTCAACATTTAGTCAATGTGTGTTCTGATTTCAGTGGTTCTTTTATAGCATGAGAATGTAATTGTAAGTTTACATCTTACTAGATTTATAGTTTATATGTTAATGGTATGTGATTTTACCATTAATGGGTTTATGTTAGTGTTATTATAGTATGCATGTTACTGCAATGAAAGCTTGCTCAGTTTTGCCTTGTGAGTCTTCAGTTCCAGCACAAAAGTGTTCCTGCCACTGCATTAGCAAACCTGTTACTGGCATGCGTGTACCTGTCACTGACATGAGTGTACCTGTCACTGACATGAGTGTACCTGTCACTGACATGAGTGTACCTGTTACTGACATGAGTGTACATGTTACTGGCATGAGTGTACCTGTTACTGACATGAGTGTACATGTTACTGGCATTAAGGTGTACCTGTTACTGGCATGAGTGTACCTGTTACTGGCATTACCGAAAATGTTACTTGCATGAGTGTACCTGTTCATGGCATGAGTGTGCCTGTTACTGGCATTAGCGAACAAGTTACTGGCATGACTTGTGATTTCTGTTATCCTGACCTCGGTTTCGTATTTGACTTGCGATTTCTGGTATTCTGATTTCGGCTTCATATTTGACTCGTGATTTCTGGTATCCTGATTTTGGCTTCATATTTGACTCGTGATTTCTGGTATCCTGACATTGGCTTCGTATTTGACTTGTGATTTCTGGTATCCTGATTCCGGCTTCGTATTTGACTTGTGATTTCTGGTATCCTGACCTCGGCTTCGTATTTGACTTGTGATTTCTGGTATCCTGACCTCGGCTTCGTATTTGACTAGTGATTTCTGGTATCCTGACCTTTGCTTCGTATTTGACTCGAGATTTCTGGTATCCTGACCTCCGCTTCGTATTTGACTCGTGATTTCTGGTATCCTGACCACGTCTTTGTAAATACTTGTGATTTTTGGTATCCTGACCCCGGGTTCGTATTTGATTAGTGATTTCTGGTATCCTGACCTCAGCTTTGTATTTGACTTGTGATTTCTGGTATCCTGACCACGGCTTCGTATTTTACTTGTGATTTCTGGTATCCTGACCTCAGCTTCGTATTTGACTTGTGATTTCTGGTATCCTGACCTCGGCTTCGTATTTGACTTGTGATTTCTGGTATCCTGACCTCTGCTTCGTATTTGACTCGAGATTTCTGGTATCCTGACCACGGCTTCGTATTTTACTTGTGATTTCTGGTATCCTGACCTCAGCTTCGTATTTGACTTGTGATTTCTGGTATCCTGACCTCGGCTTCGTATTTGACTTGTGATTTCTGGTATCCTGACCTCTGCTTCGTATTTGACTCGAGATTTCTG